GTTACTGGCCTATTCTTCCTGATTCTATTTCTTTTATGGAGCCAAAATCAGTTCATTCGTTTTTAGTAAAAAGACAGTTATGACTCATTATCTCTATGCAGCTCTAATGAGAAATATGACCATATCTGTGAAATATAAAAGAGAGCATCATTAATCCCAAGTTGTGGAGGTAATTTTTCTGTCACACACTTTGACATTTTTGCTTTTGAAACTGTTCATCAGAGGCAGAGCTGCTCTTATGGCGGGAATGAGATCACTTTGACGTCAACAAAGAGCCATTGTTCTTCTGTTGCTGCAGCTACCTGAGTGATATAACAGGTAAACCTGAATGGCCAAGATGATTTGTTAGGGGGAAAAAAAAAAATGCTATAAATAGCATTGATGTCTGTTTCATACATGCTGATGTAATAATGATTTTGGAGGGCAAGTAGGCAGGCAGACCTACTGGTTAACAAGGCAGAGGTGTGATACAGCTCAGAGGGGGTTTTTATATACCAAGACAATCAAAGAATAACTGGTAGCAGTCACAGAAAGAGCATCTGTGGCAGCAAAACACCCTCACACACACACACACACACACACTGTGGCTCAGGCCAAGCTTAGGATGATAGGAGGCAACAGTCCAGCTTTTCAGTCCGGCTCATCTTCTGTGACACTTTATTCCACCTCTTATTCTGCTTATGCTGTTTCTAATTTGCTAAGTATTTATTATTTATCATGTCAACGGCGGCTACTTTTTACTGTTTACATTCGGGTGTGCACACAGCACCTTAAGCGCCAGTAGTCACATGCAACACACATGCTTTCATTGTCACAGTATGTTGCACTGTTTTTTGCACTTTGGTCCATGACGACGACATTTCGTTCAGCCGTTTCCTTTGCATGTGGATGAAGGGCAATAAAGCTGATATGCCTTGAACTAGGATTTCTCCTTCTCTTACCTTCACAGTGAACCTGAAGGCAAGAAGATTTACATTAGTATTAGCTGCCATAGCACACGATCCTATCATTGTACTAATAGACTAAGAATCCACAGCCACACTAGCAGCTCTGTGGGGCTGTATTAAAGAGTACTCCAATGAATATTGCCAGAATCACAATCGACAGTTCCTCCTTGTCAAAACCTGGAGACCACATTGCCCACAATGCAACTCAACTGCTGACAGTTCGGTCAGAGAAACACACATCTACATAAGTGCTGTTGAGATATTTCAATCAGGAGAGACTCATTTGCTTAACGAATAAACTTTTATTGCCATGTGCAAAACAAGAGAGGAAAAGTGAGAGATGTGATCAGAGCCCATCGTGATGTCAACTTATGTGATAAGGGGGTGAGGTGCTGTGTGAAGTAAAGGATAGATTGAGATCGTGGCGAGATCTTACTGGTTGCCGAGCACTTCATTTCATCTGATTACAGAGTGGGGTGAAAGAGGGAGACTAGAGATAGTCTTCCTGACTGAATTTACGCTAAGCTTCATTTCAGTCTGGACCAATGATCTCATGAAGAACTAGAAAGTTGCACAAGTCTTTGTTTTACATGAGCTCAGAAACAATATAGCAGACAACAGTGTTAATACTAACACAGCACAAAAAAAAAAAAAAAAATTCAATTCAGTTCTCAGTTTGATTTCATGTTTCATCCTCTCCAGTCAAATGTTAATGGTAAAAGCAGCCGTGTCCCTTGTTTCCTCTGAACTAGATTTTACAATAACCAAACTTCCCTCGTGTAATTTCATCTCAGCAGTGCGCCTATGGATACAACTGCTGTTTCTGTCTCCAGCTGTATCTGTATCTTGAGACTTTTTTTTTTTTCCCATGTGCAAAATCAAATGTGAGTGAAGTTTAATTTTACTCCAGAGTCCCTTCTTGCTAGATATTTACAGTGTACGACATCATGAGAAGACAGACCGTTTCCTCAGACCTCTTAGGGACCACTGAGTAGATTCGATGCCAGGAAATGTTCTCCACGAGTGTGTAATCAACAAAACCGAGCTCTGAGGGGAACCTGACTGCTGCGATCCTGCACTGCTGTTTTCTTTCTTTTTGTCCACAACCCACTCTGACAGCGAGCGAGGTGAGGGTTGTTGTTTTGTATCGACGAGGCTGAAGGAAAACTCCTTTTATAGAAGTGAAGGCTTCAATGAGACGTGAAAACAGCTTTTTCTTGTTGTTGTGCGGAAAGACTGAAGGAGTAAAAAAAGAAAAAAAATGCAAAGCAGGTATTGTTTATGAAATAAAATTTCAAAAAAGGGAATGTCACAGAGTTTAATATATTTAAGTAATATAAGTAGCACTGCATAAAGACACAATCAAAAGCCTGGATATATTTGAAAATACCATCCAGATATCGAGCACTTCAGACAGCCTTAATTGTTTCTCACTTGTTGCATTTCAAGCACAGAAAGATTAAACAGACAAGAAATTAATCTTTTTTTTTTTTTTCTCTCTAATCTAGTAAATCATTTCATTTCACTGCTGAATACAGGAAACAAGGCTGAGAAGACACACCAGGACAACCTCAGAAGAACACACAAAGCACTGAAACACTGTACAAACAGTATCATCTAACTGAATGAATAAATATAAACTGGAAAAAAAAAAAAAAAAAAAAAAGGGGATCCTGAAAAAAAATAAACTGGAAAAAAAAAAAAAAAAAAAAAGTGGATCCTGCAAGAAACAGCACCTTTATTGCATGTCCTCACTTAGCAGTATGTGCAATGTGTGTTTGTGTTTACTTTCACATACTCTTTAGAATGTCGTGGTAAAAGAGAAATCTTGCAGCTGCTATAGTGTGAAAAACTGAAAAAAAAGAGAGAAGTATAGAAACGTGTCTCTTTAGAACACAGCCTGCAAATTAGTGTGGAAATATTTCATTCATCTTGGTAGGTACAACGGAACAAGCAAAGGGAATAAGAGGGTAGCAAATTTGCATTCTGGGGGCGATTTCGAAATAAATTACACTATAAGTGCTTTTATAATTAGATGGTCCATTTATTTGCAGGGTACACTGGATGAAATGGCTCATTCTAATTTTTTTAGTAATTTATCTCTAATTCCTTCTCAAACACAATTTATTCTCTGACCACTCGTCTTCCTCTCCATTACTTGTCTCCGTACCAGAATGCATTGAGCATTTTATTGATATCCTATATCAACTCAATAATTACTCACTAAAGTGTTACTAAAACAACGCTGAAAACGTTTTCTTTTGTTCATGTGCTCTTTCTATCGGCATTTTAAAGGAAACAACACTGTTGTGTTTCATCACCAACACAATCTCACCAACAAATAGCCATGTCCTTCGTACCTCCTGGTTTCCATGCACATCTCCTCAGTCCTGTGTGTGGCATCGAGGAGCGTCACCATCTGTACAGTCAGCGCTATATGTGACCAGAGCCGTCAGCTGCACCTCCTCCGCCTTGTGGGAATAATCCTCGACTCACACATCTGAGATTTCTTGCTAACAAGGATGATGAGAGTCTTGCTGATTACACTGATTAGTTCCTCCTCTGTGGGTGAAGTTGGTGTTAATCAGACATATCTGCAGCAGATTCGCTCTCCTCCACACATGACACATGGTTGCGTAACCTCAGGCTGAAAAATCCATGCTCAACTTTAATTTGTGATCTTTTTTTCAGATAAAAAGTGAATAATAGGATGCGACACAATCCTTCAAGTCCATAACTTTAAAGATGTACATAAAATGCTGTTCGATGCTGCAGGCCCAGGTTAAAGGTCTCATATTTATAGTTTGAAGGATTTTGTTTGAATATACTGAGGTAAAGCTGCTGTGTGGAGGCTTGGCACGTCACATATGGCATACAACGTACGGTCGTATAGGCTCAGTCATACGGCACAAAACAATGCCAAAACTGTTAAAATAGCATAACAGCCAGCATACGTGTCCATAATATTTACAACCAAATCTGTTTAAAATACAGACTTTAATTATACTGAGTGCAATGATGATGGTATTTTTTTTTTTAATCTACAGTGGTGACCTTTCTTGGGTAATTTGCTTGGAAAATGTCTTCATCAACTTCTGATTACATCACCTCTATTACTTAGCAGTGACAGCAGGCTGCACTACAGGAGCCAGTTTCACAAATACAGAAAATTGTCTGTTCTGTTAAGCCAGTCTGATGGAAATTGGACAATTAAAAAAAAAAAAATAGAGAGTGAAAAGTTTGCCACCTTTCACCCAACCTAACCCAGAACAATGAGACAACGTGGATCGTCATTTGTGGTGCACTACAGGTCTGCACTGCGTCGACCTTTTATGCTGCTGAAATTTCTTTTGTGTCTTTATGATGTTCGCTAAATTTATGCAGTGAAATTAACCCTTTTAACCGTTGAATATTTCCAGAGCAAAGTAAACGGCCTAAAGCAGTTTTACATGTTTCTCAGTTTGAAAACTGAAATGTGCCCAGAATGCGTGGAAGAATGGCTCTACCTAAGGTGCTCAAATTACATCTAAGCCATAGTCAAAGTCAGTCTCTGTGAAACTAGCCACTGCAGTCCTGTTCACACATCCTCCAACTCTGGAGTGGCAAACATTAGCAAGCCAGCTTGGTAAAGTGTAATTATGAGCCCACTATCCAATTCCTAGCAAGACAGCAATCAGCCAGCAGGGCATTACTGGGATCAGTACGTATAGTGTAACTACTGAATCTAAAGGTGTACTCACTTACTGCTTCCTGAAAAGCAACCACAATAGTGTAGTAATGCCCAACACTGACATTCAAACAGCAGCAGGTGAATATGTTTTGAGTCTGTATAAAGCACTTCTTACTCTCCATGAAAGAAAATGTGATTTCTAATACTTTTGAAGTCTGCAGGTGCCTTTTTAATGTATTGGCTTGAAGTATATGTAAATATTCTCTGCAATCAAAACCAGGTTATCTTCAGAGGGGGCATCATTTTCCTGAGTTTCAGACTCCATCGCTTTTTCGTGAAATGAAGAGATGCAGGAAATGGACACTGATCAAAGAGTGAGTAATCATGTCCTGAAGCCACAGGGGCTTTATCTCCTCCAGGTATAATGAACAGCGCTTATGTGGAACAGTATAGCTGTATATCCAAGCAACTACACTTAGCTACATTAAAAAGAAAAAAAAACTTCCACACACCCACTTTTGTCTGATGGCTCTGCCTCTGTGACTTTATACTGACTTCCAATGTGACAGGTGCCCTTACTTTATTTAAATGTCACCATCCACACCTTGTCAGTCAAACGTTGGTGCAGTTAGTCGAGGGCGGCGTGTCCGCTTTGCTGCGGATCTCCTTAATGTCGTTGAGCGGGGAGTCACTGGTACCGATCTGGCACTTGAACACCTGCTTGTAAGCTTTCCTGAAGTTCTCCGACAGGAAGGCGTAGATGACGGGGTTGACAGATGAGTTGCTGTACGCCAGACCGTGGGCAGCCACCCGTAACACGAAGGACGCCTGGTTCAGCGGGAAGGTTCCAAACTCCACCCAAAGGTGAACAACGTGATGAGGGAGCCAAGAGAGGCAGAACACCACCACCACCACCAGCACCGTCTGAGCCGTCTGAGGTCCACGAGAGAGAGGAAAAAGGAGGGAGATTTAGTCAGTGCCTACAGGGACAACAGTGACAACATTTACATTGCTGTACCCAGGAGTAAGTGTCAGTCAGGATAAAATAATAAAGTTTTGAGAGGTTGGTGCCTTGGAGACATCTCTGTAAATATTTTGCTGCTGCTCTGCTGTTATTCTTTATTCTCGCACCTTCTCCTGCTACGATATACAAAACCTAGCAATTTGTTTCATCTGTTTTAAGCTGATATCATTTTTATTATACTGAATAATTCTTTGAATACTCTTTTTATCTTTTCATACAGATTGAACTTCCTGGACAGGTAAGTTTTTAAGCTCATTTGGTAGCAAATAAATAGGCTACAAAATTGTTTATGTGACATCCTGAAATGAACCTGGGTTTAGTGCATCAGTGGGTGTTATTGGGAAGGCTTTGCGAATGCTGATGTGTTAGCATGGTGCTAGCAATCTGCTAGGAATGCAAGAATGAGTCAAGAGTGAATTTATTTTCTAATTACTTCAGGACTAAGTTACACAAGAAGCCAGTCCTCCAAAACATCTCCTTAACGCTGGGCAGAAAATACAGCCGCCATCCTGCAGCTCTCCCCTCACATTCTTCATACACGCATGCAACACAAGCAACACAGCTGCAGATGTGCACCTTTGGCTACAGTTAGCAGGAAGACTAAACTATTAGCAACATTCAACATAGCCACTCAGCTCCTACTTTCATTGTAAATCTACCTACACCACCAACCACTATAGATATTTTTAGGTATTACAGGAAAATGAAGTCAGCAGCCTGTTAAGCTGTCCAGGGGAGGTAAAGCAAGTTCTCTCTGAAGGGATTTGCACACGCATCTGCATTTGTAGAAGAGCCAAGAGGAACGCGCTCTCTCTTTTAAAACGACCTGTGATTGGCTAAGTCTCCTGTCACAGGCTAGTTTTTCTAAAACATGAAAACAAGAGCCAAGAGGAGGAGTAGATGTCTAGTTTGCTCTCAGACCACTTGAATTACAATATGCTGATAGATGATTATGGAATTTTTACCCATTGACGCCAACAAATGACTGGCTACCCCAACTTTAAAGCTGCTTGGTATTATTATCATCTTTTTTTCAAAACTGACATATTGTATTTATGACAAACATGTTAGCAAAAAGTCTGCTGCCTGAAAAACACAAAACAATGCACAAAAAGTTGCAAAAATGCTAATTAGAGCAGGACACTGCAGAGTTGGTAATAATTCTCTGTAGGTTTGTTATTATGAGCGAGCCCTTTCACATTACACATCATCATATATGGATCATCATATTAGCTGTATCAGTTCCAGCTGAAACTAACACATACAGTTGACCAATTTGTATGCAATTCCATACTCAGTCAGGGCCTCATAAAACCCTTAATTGTATTACACTTAACTGACTGGCACCACATAAATCATATTATTCTATTGACATTTCACTCAGCAGATCCAGCTGCAATCCTGTAAATGTTCAGATGACCCTCATATCAGAATTGGCCTTGATGCAAATGCTCAAGCTTATAAACATAAATGATGTGGTACACTTGAAGGTGGAAAGAAAATATTTCAGTCAATTCAATCATAATTCAGTTTCAATCACATCTACATGTCTACCTGTCTTGAAGATTTGTATGTTTAACAACGACAAGAATGTAAAAAAAAAAAAAAAACAACCACAATGTGCAATTAACAGGCTGAGCAAGAAGAACGATGGCAGAGGAACAGACCTCGCCGCACACGGTCACATGTTATGGCTTTCAACTGGCACATAATTACCTCTGAGAAAGGTCACTTAGTGACTTCATGAGTAGTTCATTTAATGAACAACTGATGGGATTATGTTATTTTATATATTAAGTATACCCATAGATGAAAATGTATATATTAATGTATAAACTCTGAGTCATAACGTGAGTTACACTGTAGTGGTTTCCTCCAGTTTATAACACAAAACCATTTATACACACATTCCGCTATAAAGACCCAAAATTTAAGATATTGACCAGATATACTTTAAGAAAATGTGATAACTTATTGTGACAATTACAGCAAACCAATTTTATTTTTGATCTAAGAGGAAAGTGTTGAATGTTATATATCAGTAAAGCCAATGGCAACAGCTGGAATGTGTCATCACAAAAAAAACTAATTAAATGCTGCCTGATCTTCTGGGCCCCTCCACTGCATTTTGCTTGATAGCAAGTGGATTTATTCCAGAACTCATTAGCTTCTGTCATTGAAACTATAAAAGCATCTGAGCAGGTAACAAGCAAATCGTGTGTGTAAAGTTTAAAGTGACATATCAAGCAGGGAAAGATACAGGAAGAGCAATACAGACAAGTCAGAATGATAAACACAGCGTAGCACAATGAATACATGCATTCATATCCAGAAATTATGAATTTACATAATGACATTTGACTCATGCAGACTTTGTGTCAAGAAGTTCAAACACATGACAGAAAAGCGAGGAGTCTCACGGTGATAGAAACTCTCAAGTGTTTTCTGCTTTAATTGGTGAATGTGGGAATATTTGATGCTTGAAGATGCAGAGCTATGTTCATATCCACCTCTCTTATGCCCATACTATTAAAGCTGCACTTATCATACTTTATATTAATAACTGATCAAATGACAATGTGTAATGTGAGAGGTAATCAAGGGAGGGGAGAGGGGTCAGTTATCACCCGGCCCTGTAGTTAACCTCAGTTAACTTTTTAGCATTTTTGTTTGAAGCCAAATGTCTTGGTTTCCTGGCCCACAACTTCATAGTTTGGTTCAGTCTCAGTCTCATCAGTGTCATTATTATTAGCTGCAGCAGGCAGCTGCTTTCAGAGTTAAACCTACTCCACATCACTGTTGCTCCGTGTCTGCTGGATGTGTAGGCAACTGTTAGCTAACATGTTCTCATTTGTCAGTGTTTACAACCCACACACACACACACACACACACACACACACACAATAAATAAAGCAAAACTATTAATCAAGATTTAAATGCCATGAACAACAAAGAAAATCAATATGGCAAAAGCACAAGCAGTTTACTGGGGCTGTAATTTGGTTTCTTTTTCTTCTAAAACACAAATAGTGAACTTTTCAACTCAGACCAAAATTAATTAACTGTAGGGACGGCTGCATCTCCACTGATGAGTAGTATAATAACATGTTTGTGCAGTCTGATGAAATGCTTTATGATCATCTTTTCAATTTAAGATCTTCCCACAGTCCAGTGCAGTGTTGATCTTTTTTTTTTCTTTTTTTTTTTCACAATAAATGTGTAATGTAACTGCACCTCATCGATCATTTCAGAGGTAAACATCGCCGACTGGCCCATATCCAATTTGAAATGAAAGGTCAATATTGGCCTGCGATATCAGCCCAACCCTTTTACACAAGCGTGCATACACCACATACACACACACACTGACACATACACACTCCCACACAGTACCCAGGAACAGGTTCCCACAGTTTCAGTGTAGCAGTATGTTAATAGCACAGCGCTGTTTAGATAGCCTCCATAACACATTCATATCTTCACCTCGACCCCCCGAGAGCCATCAGTTAGGCTAATATAAACAGCAGCATCTCCACAGGAAGAAGAACCTAATAAAACTCATCCCTCTCAGCTCCGTCTCTCCAGCCGCACTGTCTCTACTTGTAAAACTCATTTGTCAGAAGCTGTCAGCTGATCACTGAAATGTCTTAAAAAAATAATTAAAAGATGTCATTCATTTTGGATATCGAGGTATTAACCTTTCAATGATCCATCTTCTTCTTATGTAACATTTTTACAGTGTTAATGTGAATATATTACTGTACTGAAGTAATGACAGTCAAAGCTGGATGTCAGGGCACAAGACAGATTTTTTTTTCCTTAATGGAATAAAACAGAACCATGAAAAACATTAACAGTTATTGCGATGTGATGTGCTCTGTAATTCTGGGCTCACTGTGCCATTTTGCTGCATTTTTGCTTTTTCAATAAATAAATGGATCCTTGAAAAATAATGTTTCTAGTTCAGTTACGAATTTGATTTCATTCGCAGGAAGATGTTCAGCCATGTAATACATCAGTGATAATCATCAGGTTTTGGCATCAGTTTGTCAGAATCAAAGGGGGTTTTGCACCAACACTCAAAAATCGTCATTGTACTGGGAGAAATCCATCAATGTGCCTGTGTCTTGAATTTGTGAGAGGTTGCTATAATGAGGCTGTTTCTGACAGCAGCCCAATAGCCCGTAATATATTGCAGCCACAAGACAGACTTAACATCTGGGCACTGCAGTTCTTCTTCAGGGTCCCCAGATGTGCGTCACTTCCTTTTCTGCCTCAGAAGTATAAAAGCACATAAGTTTTATAAAAATACTGTGTAAAATCCAAACTGTAAGACCCCTGGGAAAATATAACTTCATTCTTTTATTAAGATGTTTGTAGAAAAGGTTAGTAATTTAATATTAACAGGGTAAAAAAAAAAAAAGAGCAGGATCCAGGTTAATGCTAACTACAACTTAATGCTAACCTTAAAGGTTAGTAATCCAATGTCCCATCACTTACTACTGTAAGGAGTGGCAATGTCTTTGTCACTGAAGTTAGGGTAGAGTGCTAAGGAGTTTTTTTTTTAATTTATTTTTTTTTTTATTTATGTAACGTTATGTGTAAGTTTTGGAGGCAGAATGAGATTAAATCAAAGACTGGCACTAGCCAGGTGTCCACAGTGCAAATTTGGACTAAAATCGGCCAAAGAAAAATGCAAATTAATGAGTGTTTCTGTTTCCATCCAATACTATTATGTGACTATTTGGGAGTTGAGTGTATTGAGATCAACATTGCAGAAGAAGAGGGTACAATGAGACGTATCTGCACCATGAAAACCATGTGGAAAATGTAACTGGTGTATGGATTTACGTTTGTTTCATGTATTAATTCAATTCAAAGGTATGATTTACACGTATATACATTAACTTTATTGCTGTTAATAAACTGAAGATACTACAAAAATAAATTACAGTTATTAATTCATCCAGTTAGTAACACTTAGTTTACAATAGTAACACTCATGTGATAGTAACACCATCGTGTCAATAAGCAGTTTAGTCTCTGAAGCATGAGCTGTCCTCATTTCACTTTGCGGATGCTGTTAAACAATTTCAAGATGACTGTGAAGTATCCATAACCAACTGTGTGCTCCATCTGGATGCCTGACTCAGCGAAAACTCCAAAAACATACAGTATCAATTTCTGGCTTTTAACCCTTCATTCAACACTGAGAATCCAGTGAAAACATAATTGTTTGCCAAATATAATGAACCCCATGATTCGCAAGAACATTACCCAAGAACCAAAGTAAATAAGGCTTTTATTTACTAAAGCAGAAAGCAACAGTAGTTCAGATTTTCTCTCTTTTCTATCTGAACATGACATAAAACCAGAGGGGTTAAAAGATTTGTTTGAAACATATTTATCACATCTTTGCACAAACACCTTCCAGAAAGACAAAGGAAGATTTACCGCTGTTTTTGGCGATTTGGCTTTTGACAGTGTTTCATTTGACTGTTGGAGGCTGTTGTCTGATTCCTACTGTGGGTGTCTGAGGGTGATAAGAAGTTTGTATTTCACAACAGGAGTGGGAGTAACCTTGCTTTTTCCAGCTGTCACTGACATTGTATTTCACAGTCCTGGTAGTGAGGTGTTGAGACCCAGGTGAACCACTCAAACTATTCATTAAACACTTTTTTTTAAGCAAACTCCCTCTGCTTCCCACCGAGGACGCTGTCTTATGTCTTGTCTTGTCTCATTTACTTGAAAACTAAAAGTTTATTGGCACAACGGAACACAGGAGATAAGCTTATTCCCTTTCTTTCAGAGAGATATGGTCGATACCACAGCGGAGACTACAGGCAGTCAATGCACCTGGACACGACATAATCCTGCACATATACCTTATTTACATAATATCTTCCAGACCATAATCACAAGCAAAGGAGATAGAAAAAACATTTGCAGTAATTATTGGTAATTACAGTTAATATCTCCCTCAAATGATTTTGACTGCCACCAATAGAAAATAGAGCTAATAAAGCTTCAATGATGACTCTTCTTCTTAGATTAATGTTATCTCAGGGGAACTTTCCCAACAGAACAGGGGTCAAAGTGTTTCCTCAAAAAGGCATGGGGTCAAAAACAGATATTGGAAAAGGGAGTTGTCCTAAAATCAGTGTCATCTCACATTCGGGCCAATATGGTAGCTAATTCAGGCAATTTAAATGGTGTGACTATAAGGATAGTAGCGGATCTTGGAATGATACACGAACTCTCCTGAGTCAGAATAATTGTAGATATTGTATTAATGTAGCAATAACCTCCTGTAAAACTTATCTCAGTTTAAAACAATATTACTGAGCTTTAGAGGTGCTGGTAGTTGGTAGGTTACCTTTGGCCAGTTTGACCTGTTCCAGTCATTATGCTAAGCTAAGCTAACAGTCTCCTGGCTGTAGCTACATACCCAATGGATAAATATATGAGAGGATTTGATCGTCTTGTCTAACGCTCACACTACAATTATTCACATGATTACACATTAATAACAGAGGCCCAATTGTTGACAGCTGCACAGTAGTTATGGTGCGCTGAGCTCACCACAGGACACACACACTGCAGCAGAAGAGCCAGGTGATGTTTTCACAGCATCTCAGTTAGAGTGAGGAGAAGGTAGCAAGGGGACCTATGATGGGATAGGTGTCGCACCAAAATTTGTTTACTCTTAAAAATGTGTTTTGCATGGCAGCATCTAGAAATCTAGCTAGATTTCACACCATGGAAGGAGGTGAAAACAGCTTTGGGGGGGTAGCTTTCATATCTCTATAGCTCTTTAAGTCTATAAAGTTTGCAGGTCGTTCTTAACTAATTCTCTTTTCTGTTTATTATTCTGTGCTTTAAAATAATACAAACAAAAATATGACAGTAATTGATCTATTCGCATCCGTATGCACATTATTCATTTTCATTTTGATTCTGTGATTTACTGTATGCTGCACATTAATCTTCTTATCATGAAACACTTTCCATGACACACACTGGAAAAATGATGCACTGCCAAGGAAATACACCAATTTTGGCACAAGCACCGTACTTGTGTATTCATAAAAAAAAAAGGAAATGGGGATGTTGCCGCTTTCATTGTAAAATTACTCATTTTTGCACCAGTGTGTGTGTTTCTCTCATTGTTGATACCACACTCAGATTTAATGTGTTCTGTTCTGACATTAGTCATAGTTAAACAGCAGGTTCCCCACCAAGCTAATTTATGTATTGTAGTCTGGGTTTAATGCGCTGCTTGCCAACCGTTTCTCACAAAGCTGTCAGTGTAACATTCCTTCTGTGCATCATCCCTCAGCACTCTGCATTATCAGAATATCTCAGATTCCCTGTTCTACCTCCCACTCTTGTTTTAAGCCTCATGCAATAAAGCATGTATGTATAAGTAGGTGAACATTTTACATTCTCATCAACCCTTCCCCTCTCAGCTGATCAGGAGCTGCTAAACTGCCCGGCTGTGACGAACAATGGACGGACAGACTGACAATGAAGTGGGCGACAGCCGATAACTGGCTCTCTGGGAAGCTAAATGACCTCCAACAAGAATAATGAAGACTAGATTGCACTTTGATTGCACATTGCCTTTTGGCCACTTTGCTCGAGTGGGCCGGTTAACATTGAGCATTATAGCATTAATATTCATTTTTTCGACCATAAGGAAAATGGAAAAGATGAAAAGAGTTCCCTCTGGCTGCCTGTTGAAATTGAGGAAATGGTACAGCATATGGTAGTAGACCTTGGCTGAATAATGTGTGTAGGAGCGTGGGGCAGTGTAACTTTGATATATATCTTCCTAAAGGCCAAGAACGCTGACCTCTGCTTTGAATCAAACCATATGTCGCCAGAGGAAGAGGGCTGCAGCTTAGTGAACCGTGAAAAATGCTGATCCAGAGAGAGGGAAGGTACTTCAGTGAAGGTATGACTTGTGTGTTAAAATTTATATAAAGACTGACACCATTCATCACCATAATCATCGTTAGTGAAATCATCATCATCATCATGTCAGATAATGGTGTTAAACAAAAATTCAAGGGTTCAGAAGGTGAATTTCAAGGGAACATTTATTACACATCGAGTATTTTCAGTGATTTATGCTTTATTTTCTCTGGACTTCTTAACTTCAACTTGTGCCATTTTACAGTGGTGTTTTTTTTTTTGCAAATTTCTGCACTATGGGACTAATAAGTGACCATCTTATCTTATCTTTTTCATTATTTTATGTCCTGCAAATGTATATGATTCTGCAGTAATTCAACAGGTGGCAAATCACCCCATCTACTTTTGTTTTCCAGTATGTATTCAGTGTTTGCAACTCATTACAATCAGACAAGTTTGCCAACATATGGCTGTAAGCCTTGATAAATACCCCAGCCCCCCAAAGAGACTGGTTTAATACATACCTTTTTCTTTGATGCCTCTGACTTTTTGGACATATTTCTTAGTTTTTTGTGCAAGTGATTTAAAACCTGTAAGTAAAGAAATAAAGGTAAGATTTTTTTATAGGTGAATCATTTCCATAATTATGAAATGACCCAAGCTTTTTCTTACCTTTGCATAACAGAAGGAAATCAGCAGCAGAGGCAACACATAACCAAACACAAAGGTGCAAACCACATAGACTTTCTTCTGGGTTTGATCTGGCCACACTTCCCAGCAAAAGGTGTGATTCTCCCCTCTGTGAAAGATGTTCTGGTAATACATGATAGGCGCAGCCATGGCCAGAGAAAGTATCCAAATCACCACCACTCCGATCAGAGCATGCTTCGCCACCCGGATAGAGGAGGACTTTCTCGAGTGCACGATGGCGATGTACCGGTCCACGGACATGGCAGACAGGGTGAAGATGCTCACCAGCATGGACACAGTGAAGAAATAGTGGATGAATTTGCAGATGAATGCGCCCAGGACCCACGTCGGCATCATGTAGACGGTGGACTGGAAGGGGACACAGAAGAGCAGGTAGGAGAGGTCCGCTATGCTCAGGTTGAGGATGAATATGTTGGTGGTGCTGCGCGGTTTCCCCGGTTTGCTCCGAGCCAGCACGGTGATCACCATGGAGTTGCCCAGCACACCGAGCGTAAAGATGAGCCCGAAAACCAGCAGCGTGATGAAATTATCCATGCCGATCCCGAATAAAAGTTTCTGGTCCTCTTCCTCCACTCTGCTCAGGTTACACGGCTCTTCCAAGAGCCAAACAGACTCGGATAAGTTCATGATTTTTTTTTTTTTTATCCCCTTTAGATGAACTCGAAATGTTGCCAGACCGAGACCTACAGGAGGTCTGTGTGCCACTGCTGTTTCATGACACGGAGTTTTCAGAGTTGGGGTTCATGGTCTCCTTTAGCGCTCCTGTACATATTGTTTTTGCTCTCCCGCGTCTTTATCTCAAGGTTTTCGGCAAATCGTCCGCTTTATTCTTATAGGCTACCTCACACCACGAGTAAACAAGTCTCCCAAAGCTATCTAGTTACTAAACAGCGTTCATCAGTCACGCCGCTGTGCGTCTTGGAGTCCCTTTCTCCTGGCGCGCACCTGATGCGTCTGCGCACCGACCGCGCTGCTGCTGCTGCTGCTGCTGCTGCTGCTGCTGCACATTGCAGCCTATTTCTCTGCGTCTGGACTTTTTCCCTCACATTATAGCAGGGGTTGGGCTGTGTCATTCACGTCAGCACCACCTCCCAAGAAACCCTGTGAGAGAGAAAAAAAAAGAACTACTTATTCTGATATTGTTCCTCCTTTCTGAAACCCTGTGCAATTGAGCTGCCAGAGGCCAATACCATCGCCTTAGTCAGATTCATTTAGTTATGACACAGTATGGTCTGGGAGCAAATGTTATTGAGATTATCCGCATGGACTGCTTGCTATGATTGCCTTATTTGAGTTTCATTGTCTTCTGTCATAAGGGAGAAATAAGTTTTCTAAACATATAAAAACTTCAGTGTTGGGATTTGGGGGCTTCCTGTTCACGTTATTTCAGCAATTTATATGCATGAATGAAAAATATATAATAAGCAAGGACTTAAGTTGGTCTAGTTAGGATGTCCCAGATACACTGACAGCTGTGCAGACAAGATACTGTAAAGTTAAAGTGCAGAATCAACAAGTCACAACACTAAAATAAATAAACAAATAAATAAAAAGGGATTGTATAAATCTCATAATCTTTAATCTCTCTTTACAACAGTGCTCAAACACCTCAAGAGTGCATATATAGATTATTATAACAGAATAGTGTGTCCACAAATGTAGACTTCCTCAGTGGTGAAACTTTAATATTTATAAGAAATTCACACACAAAAGAAAAAAAAAATTCATACACACTCAAATTTTACTGCATTTCTTTTGCAAGAGACTCTGGCAATATAAGATTCAAAAGCAGAAAATTATTCAGTAGTTTTTGACTTAAAGGTCACACTGGCTGCACTCCCTCAAGATGTGCACATTCCTCTGGAGACTGAAGGGTCATGTTAAAGTCAAAGTTGGAGAGCTTGCTGGTGAAAATTTCATGTGAGCTGTTGATTTATTGTTCACTTAAAGTCTCTGAGCTGAGCTTTATCACACCGTGCTTCACTGAAAACACAATATTGAAAAACTAGAGTAATAACATTTGTCTTCATAATCACAAGATAAAGACCCGACTCTGCTGCTGCACTAACCTTTGTTTAATCAATTACCCAGACGAGCTGGCCCTATCTGATATGATCAGTCAATAGTGGTAATGGTTGTATGATTATTTTTATTATTGATTAGTGTGCTGGTAATCATCTGCTCTATAAGCTGGCAGAAAATAGTGAGAAATGGCAATCACAGTAACCAAAGCCTAAGATGATTTCTATATATTGCTTCATTGTTCTGAGCTCAAATAACAGAACTAGAAAGTAATTCCTCACATTGAGAAGGTGGACTCTGATCACTTTGGTATTTTTGCTTGAAAATTACTTAAACGGGTTGATCGATCATTTCAACTCTAATTTTCAGGAAATATCCATCACTGTAAACTTCTGCTATCCAGTAGCAGTAGAATAATGAAAATGCACTTGAATGAAAAGTCTGTTTATATTTCTAGAAAATTAAGCCATACACTGAAAGTTTGTGCACTCACGTGCTCACATTGTACACGTGCTCATCAGTGACAATATTGAACTGCTAATTAGCATGGAGACGTTGAACTAGTAAGTTTGACTCCACTGACTGTGAATGCTACTTTGACGCCTTTAGTCTTAAACCAACTTACGTTAACTGATATTTTGGCCACTTGGGGGCAGCAGAAACAAGTTGTGAACTCAACACTGATCTATCGTCACCTTGATATCAAACACTTATTTAAGAGTTGCCTATTTACATATCTAGTAGTAAAGGAGAAACATTACCATTCACTTTGAGTAGTGTTTGTGGCTACCTGGTGAAGTCCAATATTTATTCCGCTTTTAGCTCTGTTTTTGGTCTCTACCAACCACAGAGGGAAATATCTGGCTCTTTAGTTGCTAAATTCTCTAAAATCTTACCCAGTTTGTCTGCCGTATGGCGCCAGCGGATGTTTTTCCTAGCTGGTGGTGTTGAAAACAACGTTATGGGAGCAGTGACAGTGAACCAAAGCAGTAAAGTTGTGAGCTGGACAGTGAATCAATAAACTGAAACTCACTATAAATCTCTTTTGAGCTGTTGAGGGGAGCTGCAGCTTCAGGTAATAATTCACAGGTAAGGTAAGTTCAGCAGTTCAAGCAAACTCTTTCACATCGTCACATGGCTTTCACGCTGTCATTCGATACATTAGCTGTGGTTACACCCACACATTTTTTCCTTCTGATTGAGACTTTCAGGTGAACTCTTTGCATGGGTTGTGATTTAATAGGGTCTGGTGTTTACATGCAGCAAGATGCATGGAGATACACATTTACGTCAAGCCAGAGGACATGCACAGAAAGAACAGAGCCAGGTAATCAGGTTAAATGGTTTACAAGGTGCAACTTTTCTTTTGTCAGTTTATAAAGATATTTAATCTACCCCTCTGCAACCGACTGGAACTTCAATCAGTTTGGGCCTGTTTATTTTGATTGAGGAGCATTTTTATTCTGGAATATTAAGCTCCACGTAAATGTACCAATTGGTATAAAAACAGCCTATTGATTATAGAGTTTGCAGTTTCTATTAGTGAAGGTTGTATTTCTGTAGGTGCTGTATTTTTGTATTTGCCTGTTCAGTGGCTGTCACTGCTTGTTCTACTTCTAACCTCCCATTTCATCTTCTGCTTTTTTTTCTGAACAACCTTGAAATGCAGAGTTTTCTCATATCCGACAAAAGGGGTTTAGACCAGCAAATACAAAAGTTTTCACGAGCTGGATGTAATCATGTATTATATCAATATCAGTTACTTTCATTCTGTCAAATGCAACATGTATTGAACTACTTATGAGCTTGCTTAGGTCCATCTCACTCTGCAACATACCCCACATACCCCAGGCACTTATTTTTCATTTTGTTTTACGTACTTTTTCTTGTAACATAGTTTATATCACTGACAGATATTTTTAAATTCACCTTGTATAGCACTGAGATGTATTTGTTTTATATCTGTCCTTGTGGATAGAGATTGCATCCATGTCACAAAGCATGTTCCTTTTCTCTGTCCATTGTTTGCCTTTCTACTCCTATACTGACACCTTTTATATTGGTTTGTGTCCCATTAGACTCGGCTGTGTCTGAAAATGAAACGAGTGCAGGTTCATAGAGCTCTGTCTGCAGCGATGGCAACTGAGCTGAAAGGCGTAGGTGAGGATGGGTCAGGATGGAATAATTCAGTGGTTTCTGCTCCTGTTAGACTTTCAGAGCCCGCAAGCGAGTGTAGCTCTGCGCTCACCGTGCCTCCTAGCAAACAGAGGCAGGACTGACAAGAGGCCAGACAGCAAGCAGAACGGAGAGCGCACACATCACAACAGCCATCCATCTGTTTGGACATGATTTGATTGCATGTAACCTCTAAATGTTGGGTGTAATTGTTATTCAAAGGTCATGCACAACAACAACAACAACAACAAACACAGAAGAAATAGATAAAAAGGTTATTCTACTGTAATATAATAGGGGGTTAAGGTTAACATCTCCTGTATACTATTGACATTTTGAACATCAATTTTATTATACTATATGTATTTTTACTGTCTTTATAATTTCTATATTCTCTGCATAAATGTTTTTTAAAATATTTTTTATTATACATATTTTTCTCTCATTTCTTTATCACAGTAAATACTGCATGTTCTCGCACTGTAGTCTTTACTTACGTATACAATTATTTCATTCTTACTTCTGTTCTACTGCTGAAAATATGGAATGCATTGAGTGTCTACCTGTATATTATTTGTTGGTATGGTAAACCAATATAACTTAAAGGTACCATGTACAATTTTGGATTTGTTGGTAGCGCTATGGAGGAATGTTTTGATGAGTGGACCACCATTTTGTTTATTCTAATCTTACCTGATCTACAGGTGGCGCTAAGAGACACAGCAATGCACCAGCAAAGGCAGAGAAGAAGAAGACGACTGATAGCAAGTAAATATGGCTATAGATGATGCAGGTTTTAAAATTTTGAAAGTAATCAGCTTAAAGAAAAACACATTTGTTGCATTCGTAGGACCTCAAGGACACAGAGGATAGGTTTTGCTGAGGGTAAAAACTCCACAGGGCACCTTTAACTTTCACCTTAAAGAGATACAGTAATGATTGTGTATTGGATTTCCACAAAGTTGCGATGTTTGAAAGAACCAGAGTTTTAAAAGAATTGTCAGTCGATGCCAAGATATCCTGACCTTTAGTCCCTGGTATTGTATTTGTCTGTTTCCAAAAACAATGAATCCTGAATTGAAACCCTGATGACATCATCATAGTTATTTTGTCCCTCCAGAGCCACAAAATAAAATTTCACAATCTTAGTACTCCTCGTGAGACGTAAACTAAACTTTGTTTAAAACAGTAGATACTAAAAGAAAAACAAGAAGATCCAGATGATCCAACAGCATATTAAAACCCCAACAGTCTGTTATTCTCTTGTTGAACATTTTGAAGTATATTTTATAGATATCTTCCACTAGATGGGGCTATTTTATATTTAAGAGATTCATTTAAGACTTTAAGACTTTTTTTTTTTTTTTTCTTACACCCAGCTGTGATGGAAATCTATTGTTGATAGCATAATGTGCATTTGAGTGTTTAGGCTGTTTGCTGCTGTCTCTGGCTCTAATCTGGCACTAATTCCCTCTCGGTGTGTTTGGTAGGTAGTCATCAGTGGAAATAATGAGAACACTGTACCAGCCAATTTGATTTAGGAGAGTCGTGCAGGTTAATCTCTGTGGTTTCAAACAGCAGTTACATGTACAGCTCCAACATTTGGGGAGGCGTAATCACATTGGAAATATCCCCGTACTGTCAGTTCCACAAA